TTATCATGGATAGTAAATGGAAAGAGCTTACATGTTGTGTATCTCGTGACATTTGCCTTTAATTGATTTTAGCATGATTATAAACAACTAGAATCATTAAACTATGCTATTCCACTAGTGGAAGGGTTTCTTCATCATATGCAAGTATCAAACAATAGGTCCAATGATGAGAGCAAAAGAATGAGTCCCACAAAGTACAACACCTCGATTTTACATTTTCCGGTTTTATTGCTCCTTTCGGTAGAATAATCAACCAAAAACAGTCTGTTCCGCTGTAGCTACATGTGCTGGTTGCTTTAAAGTAATCAGTGAACTGCCTAACTCCCTACAGTTGGAGCATTAGTCTCACAAAGTTTTGCGCAGGTTCAAACTTTTTCGCCATTGAAATGTTAGCAGCAGCTGCTAGTTATTAACAACAAGGATGGGTCATTAATAAATATGCGCTCACGTGATCTGTTTCCAATCCTGGTCTGTGTATTAAACGAGCATGCGCAGTATAAAACGGGGGTGGTCTGCCCAAAAATGGAAGCAAATATTCAAAATGGCTATTACACATGATAAAGATCTTGATAACATCAGTTGATTTACATAGTAACAGTAAAAGGAAGAGGCTACAATTGCCTGGCCTCTTATTTCCACATGTTTCTTGTTCTTATCTTCTGACTAAATCACGGTTAAGTTGTTTATAGCGCCGGAGTCGTAGTGAAACAGGCCGAGCTTTAGGACGACTGATCAAGGACTCATTCAGGATGACTTTTAACATCGAGTTTGAATCTGCCGAAGAGAAAGGTGCCTTTAGTCATCATTTAGAAGATTTTCAATCCTTGCTATCTAAGAACAAGCTAGATAGCTTTGGTCTGTTGACAGCCATGTTTAATTTTATAGTTTTAGTTAAAGCTGCATGATGCATGGCTCTTTTGAGTCTTCTGCTGGTATAGGGAGTTAGTAAAACTGTCTGTACTCTTCTAAGAGTCTTTTTTAGATCTTGTGGATGCCTGTGGTGCTTGCATTCTGTGATTCTTCACTGCCCATTTTTAATTACATTCTAAAGCCACCCGCCATTTTTAATTGACTGGGCAGCCCACCCCCGTTTTATACCCGTGCTCATGCTCGGTGCTGTAATAATCATCACGTAAGGTGGAGCAGTGGTTATATTCTGCACATGCTCGTTTAAATCTATGCGTACACTAGTATCTCGCGGGGTCAGACTCCACCCCTTTCTGACATTTGGACGGCGGGGTAGGAGCCTGGTTGCATTCCATTCCAGTGATTACGTGTAGAGTTTTAATCATTTTCATTGTACAATTAATATTATTCATAGTGATTATTCATTGAAAACAATGGCTGCTGCTAGCTTTGTACGCTGACGATCACATTACTGCTTGTAGCGAGGATGTGTGTGTCTCTCTTGGGCTACTCAGAGCTAAGGAGTCAACAGAAAGATGCCATAAAGGCATTTGTTGCAGCATTTATTAACTTATTGTAATATCAACTTGTTGTAATTTATTATTAATTTATTACGACATTTCAAGGAAGATTGTATTCAAGCTAATGTTGATTTCTTGTTATTTTAATGATATTTCAATACTTCAATGTTTGTGTGACATGACTGTAATGAAAAAAAATACTGATACCATTGTTATTTTGCAAATATACAGTGATTTTGTTCAAATTTGTGTTAGTTGCAAATTTGAAAAACTTTATGTACCTGCTGCACTATCCCACGGGCAAAAATAGACTAACAAGATCATTAAAGATGTTGCCACAATCATTGTGCATGGAACTGTCATAGTTTCATTTACTGATTCGCTATGTTAGAGGAGTAATAACAAAAATACTGTTTTTGCAAACAGTCCACTGTTGTACCTGTTACAGCTTTTACACAGCAAGCAAAAGGTTCTCCTATTGGATGAGGATAGTTTGATATTGTGTGCATGGAATTGGGGGGTTAGCATTTAAATTTATGCAAAGCATTTGACTATAATATTGCTTAAAAACCAACAAGCGTAACAGTGTAAAAAATATTCCTATAATTGATTTCACCACCTTGCAAGACTAACTGGATTTTATTAAGACTTATAGAGGCTCTCTCTACCTTCTAATGCTTCTAGAGAAGTCTTTAGACAGTATCTCTATGTTCTCTTGCTGTTAGAAAGCTCTTCACTTTGTCCCAAGTTTAAGCCGCCATTTTGTTTGCCGTGACCACACCCACTACGTAAAGGAGCGTGGGCGGGTGGTTGCTAAGGCTTATGAATTTTTGTTATTTCTCCAATACAACATGTATAGAAGAAATGTAGTGTGGACATACAAATAGTACCGGTATATATATATAGATAGCGCGACGGTGAAATCAATTATAGGAACGACCTGGGGGCTACGCCCCCAGGTCGTTAAAAATTCATTAATTCCGCATGAAAAGCAAGCCACATGGTCAAAATTATTCTATTTAATGGCCAATCCAATCACGGACGTTGTCCGCCGGGGAAATCCTAGTTTCCTATCCTGGTTACGTAGTCTATACTCTATAATATGCATGGCCAGGGAGTGACATTGCGTGGGAGTATCATGACTGGCATGCAGGTTGCCTCTTTCTTCCTGCTCACGTGACATGTATTACCAGCAGTATGGTGAAAGTCACTTAATTAGTACATGTCACATGACCAGAAAGTTGGATTGAGCTCAAGCAATCTGCAAAGCTAGCAGTTAGCGCACATCAAACCATTATGTTATAAACATTATTCCCACACAATTTTTGTACATTAAAAATTCACCAAACTGATTCATATAATGCATTGTTAGCATGTGGCAGTACTGTCTCATAAGCTGGATTAACTTCAGTCCTAACTATTGATGGTCTCTGCTGCTGCAGTTCGACCACTATAAATACATACATTAATCAATAGATAGTATTTTTATTATTCTGACCTTGCCCATATGCTGGATTATCAGTAATAGGCCCTATT